CACAAAATTATCCACATCATAATAGATAGTTTATATATTTAAAAAGTTTTAATAATGTTATGGAACACAGTAACACTTCTAAGTATATCAAAATTCAAATTTTGTTAATGAAGATGCTTCTTTCATTAAAGATAATTTTTATAACTTTAGAGGATACAGTAATTAAACACAGCTTTACTAGCAAGTAAGATAGATTCTATAAATGAAGTAGATGGTAGGCCCCATCAATTTTCCTTATTTAAAAAATATATTCCCCAATTGTGTAATGACTATTACGTGTGTGAAGTTATGTATTTTATTGACTGACGGCATAAACCTCCTTTATTATTGCTATTATTCTATTTACTGCAGCTGTTTAAATAGCTAATTATTTATTAAGACTGTTCAAGAAAGTTTCATTCTTAAGTGGAAGGAGAAATAAAGTTATGGACCTTAAGAAAATGATGCCATTTTATTTTACAGTAATTAGGTTGATAAATTCTCTTTACTATTTTTAATTCTGAAGCAGAGAATATCAAATCATGATTTGAGATGATCAAAATATTGAATTAATTACATAAATAGTAACATTCAAATCAATGACAAAGGTTGGGAGTTAAAAAGTCTTATGATTAAAAACTGGACATGTCAAGTAACAAAGGAAGACATTAGATGTTCTTTTTAGGCTATTTTCATTTAATCTTCAAAATGAAAAATTGGTTCTTAACAGGTAATCATATTATAAATCATTTATTCTCTAGCTCCATAAATAATTGAGAAAGTGAAAATTCAATAATGCAAATAACAGTATTCTCCATAATATCACTTTTTTTTAGACTGAGAAACTCAGGGGGTGCTAATCCACATACCCAGCCCTTTTTATATTTTATTTCAAGACAGGGTCTGGCTAAACTGCCTACGCTGGCATCAAATTTGTAATCCTCCTGCCTCAGCCTCCCAAGCATCTGGCATTACAGGCACGTGCCACCCCACCTGGCTCACACCATCACTTATAAAGTTCATGCAACTACCAATAAATAAGTCGAGAATAACAGTGCTTAATTACTTATATAAGAATTCATTAAGGTTCTTTATGTGCCAGGCACTTTGCTAGGCACCGGAGATTAACTCAAACTGAAAGACTCTTGTTACACTCAAAGAGCTTTCTGATTATTAGGGGAGAAAGCCATAGAAAACACCAAATATATGATATGTATTATAATGGGGTCATGTACATTCTGTTATACAAGTTTAAATGAAAGACTGGTCAATTCAATTCATCCAATAACTAAACTCAAAGGGTCATATAAACTTTAATTCAAATATCAGGCATATTGATAAAAATTGTTTATTTTAAAAATAGCAATGATTTTCCTTCTTTTGTGTGTGTGCTGTACTGAGGATTAATTGAACCCAGGACTTCACACATGCTAGGCAAGTGCTGTACAACTGAGCTACAACCCAGCCCTTTTTAATTTTATTTTGAGGCTAGGTCTCACTAAGTTATTCAGCTTGGCTTCAAATTTTGTGATCCTAGGGCCAGGGATTTGGCTTAGTGGTTCTGCTGCTTGCCTCGAAAGCGCAAAGACCCGAGTTCGATCCCTGGTACCAAAAAAAATCACACAAAAAAATTAAGGGCCAGGGATTTAGCTCAGTGGTTCCAGCGCCTGCCTAGCAAGCGCAAGGTCCTGAGTTCAATCCTCTGTACCAAAAAAAAAAAAAAAAAATTTGTAATCCTCCTACCTCACCGTCCTGCCTCAGCCTCCTGAGAAGCTGGAATTACAGGAATGTCCCACCCTGCCTGGCCTATGATTCCTTGTCTTCACACCAAAAAAAATACCTCTAAAAAGAATAGTCATTCATATTTCATGTTATACAAGGAACATAACAGAGCTAAACTTGGAAAAAAATAGTAAGCAGTATTCAAAATCTTTGCACATATTAACTCATTCTGTCCTCACTATAAACCTGATAACCTTATTTTCCCACTTTACAGATGAAGAATCTAAGGTTAAATTGGCCAAGGTCACAGAGATGGCAAGAGAAAACGGTGGGCCTTGAAACCACAGAATCTGGTTCCTGACCTCCCCCCACCCCTTTTAACTACTCTTCTAGAAGACCTCTCTAAGAATGGTGATGATGATGGGCAGCTAACACTGTGACCTGCACTCTCATCAATCCTTTCTTCCCTCTCATTTACTGGAGAAAACCAGCACTGGCCAGGTCAAAAACTCGCCCAAGGTCACAGAGCCCGTGAAGGATGGGTGGCAAGATTCAAATTCAGGCAGCATGTTTCCCTGTGCTATGAGGCCTTTCAGTGATTCAGTTTCACCCTCCTGAAAAAAATCATGCAATGAAATTTATTAAACAATTCTAAAAAGGCTTTGGGGGGTTGAGGGTCCATGACAAGCATTTCCTTTAATTGGCATTTACATTTAAGTCACTTTTCAACTTTACTACTTTGGACTGATCATAAACATTTCTGCTCTTTAAAAAGAAATCTTTTCTGTAGCGACTTGGCAGAATTCAGTAAGGGAACAGTGTATTCTTTAAAAATTAAATTTAGTAACAACTTATTCTGGTTAGTATGAAAGACAAGGAGAAAATGAACTACTAAGAGGCCTTTCTTGTACTTTAATATTTTAAAACACGTTTGGTTTGGCCTAATTTGAATCTTGTGTACAACTAGCTGAGAACCTGATTCAAAAAGAGTAGTACCAATTTAAAACGACTGAATTTTATTTTTTATTTTTTTTGTTGTTGTTGTTTTTTGGTTTTTTGGTACCGGAGATCGAACTTGGCTCCTTGTGCTTGCGAGGCAGGCAGCAGAACCACTGAGCTAAATCCCCGGCCTGAAAACGACTGAATTTTAAATAGCAACCCCAGAAGCCAATTCAGAGTAATTATTTCTCATAATTTTTACTTTTATCTCAAACTAAATATTAAAGATGCACAAGATTCTCACAAAGCACATGTGGGTTGGTATTTGTACTTCTGAGCTAATGACAACCAAGAAAGCAAATTAAAAATCTTTCAAAATTCTGTAGAATAACATTGTTTAAACAGTAATACAGTACACAAAAGATGAATATTAAAAGAAACATAATCCATAGTTCCCTTGTATCATTAACACTCTCCACTGTGTCCAATGTTGGAGAAATGAAAAATTTCGTGCTATAATGCCTACCTAGAACAGAGGTAAGCTGTAGAAGATGTGTCAAACTGGATTTCCATCTTACCTTGCTTTCTTCCAACAGTTTCACAGACTTCATAACCTTTAATACTGAACTCGTACTTTTTTCAAAAGAGAACTCATAAAATGATTGTAAAATAAACACACTAAAGGATGCCACTAGGCAATCTGTCTTCCCTTCCTCTATCACCATGCATTCAAATTAAAAATACCTTTTGCTTTGCCTTTATTGAATAAAAGTTAACTTTGATTTAGAGGAAAATGTACCCATTAGCCATTTTACACTTTCGGCAGGTCATAGAATCTATCAGATCACAATGATGGCTATTGCCGCTCACTGGGCACCCCAAAGACAGGAAGCAAGCCATCACCAATTATTTTACAAGAGCGTTTATAGTGCCCCGATGGGGTTAGTCTGGCAATACCTAGAAATACGGACAAGGCTGGTGGATAAGAAGTCGAGGGGCGGGGGGAAGAGGGAGCGAGGGAGGGAGGGAGAGAGGGAGTCGCCACCTCAAACCCACGCCGGACCAGGAACCTCCAGTCCACAACCTAATCCCTACCTCCCCAAAAGTGGACTGGCTATCACATTTTTTCAGACATCCACCCGCCCCCCCCCCGCCCCCCAGAAAAAAGAAACACCGATACGGTACTCACCCTTCTGCAAAGAAGTCGGCACCCGGTCCAGCTCCGAGACGGGTCGGGGTGGCAGCCCGGGAGGGGACGTCTGGGCTGTGGGCGGGGGGTGTCGGTGCGTCACTCGTGTACAGGACGGTGAGTTCCACCGGTGGGAGCGGAGAGGAGCGGGGAAACCAAGGCACGGCCGAAGGGGTTGGAGGAGGCGCGGAGGGGGTGGGGTGGCGCGGAGCCCCTCCCTAGCATAAGCCCACCAGCCCCTAGGACCCCTGCCCCGCGGAGGGAGAAGAAAATCCGGGGAAATAACAGACTGACCAATAAACCTCTAAACGGACGAGGTTCGAGGACCGGGCTTTAATTTAAAGGGGAGAAACTAAGCGTGGGCTGGGAGACGCCGAGAAGTGGCTCTGGGTCTATCCCATGCCTTTGCAGTCCCCAGGCAGAGGAGGAGACTGGCTGAGGGGAAGTTGCAGCGGCTCCCGAGGAGGAGGAGGAGGAGAAGGACGAGGAGGAGGAGGAGGAGGAGGAGGAG